TTGAATGAAATGTAATTTATTCTTTATAAAGGAACTTTATGTGCTATAATTTTTCAAATATATCAGAGCACCTCAATTCAAGACACTGATATTACATAAAACTAAACTACAGAAAAGTTGTAAAAAACCTCTCTTCCTTCAGACCTTTGCTGGATTGTGATGCTGCAGGTTAAAATGCATATTTATAGACACTTGGCTGGGTGATTTATTTTTGTATAAAAGCAAAACTGGAGATTAAAACACAAGTTTCATGCCATGAATGTATTTAGTAGATGTATTTTATGTTGGCTGTTTCCAAACAAATTCTGCACTTGTAAAATGCAGCTAATTTAACCAGAGAGCACTGAATATACTATAATTGAATTTACATTAAACATGTTTTATTGAGCAACACATTGCTTATATTTTTATTCTTAAATTTCATTCAAGTTGGTATTAAAAAGTTCTTAAAAAGTCTTAAATTTGACTTGCTAAAACCTGCAGATACCCTGAAACATTTCCACCTGTCTTTGATCCTGGTCTCAGAAGACCTCCCTCAAAAGAGACATTTTATTTTCTTTAATAAACAAAATAATAATGTTCTTTATATTTTTTTATTTATATTTTCTTTTAACTACAAGTTATCATTTTATAAATCAAAGTTACATAATGAAAGGAATGACAACCTATCCTCTTGCATTATAATTAAGAAAAAAGAAAAAACACAAAAAGAATATTGAACTGTTGAAGTTCTCAACAACCAGTTGAGTAACGTGCAGCAGCAGTTTCATGTTTTATCATTATGCCTCATAACGTTCAAAACTAAAGAACAACATGGAGTGAAAGGAGAAAATGAGTGCAACAGCTCAAGGGGAAATTGTAGATAAAAGAGGAAAGGTCATGTGATTGGCAGTATTAACCAGCCTTTTTTTTTCTCCTGGTCCTTTTTTTCAAATAGGTAAAACAAAAAACTAATCACTAATTATCAATATTCTCTAATATGAAATATTTATATCGTGATACATTTTTCAGCCATATCACTCAGACCTATTACAAATTATTTCTGTAATATCTTGTTTTTTTGTCAGCTCATAAATGACCTAAACAATTGCTAAAATGTTTTGCAGTGTTTTATTTCACGATACACCCACTGTTCAGTCTGTCACAGCAGTAMGGTGGCTTCTTGGTTTGACAGATTTTTCTCTTTACTGGACGCCATGGACTGCAGCTCCCTGTTGTCAAGCATCTGCTCTCTTTTAGTCTAATTGGACAGTTTGAGTATTTGAAAATCATAGACACTGCATTTATCACTGCTGTGATCAGCGGCAATGTTTATTACAGTCAGTTCATTAATTGGCACCACACAATCTCACTGTCTTGCTGTTCTTTTAGTCATCCCATTTTTTGCCCTCCACGCTGTTTTTAAGGTGTTTGGAAACGTGACGTTTGTGTATGTATGTGGATACACGTGAGGGTAGAAAATCAGATTATTTAGATGTATTAAGATTTCACACACAGTCCACACTGTAATCCTGCTGCTGTGTGTCCCTACAGCTTCTCCTTAGCAACATGGCCGACACCTCCTCTGCATCCAGCTGCCATATGGTTGACTGGTGTGTTTTGTTGTCACCTCACAATGAAAGCAACAAAACAAATGTTGCATTGGGTCCAATTACAGAAGCCTCAAAACTAGTTCATGGATTTTGGGGAAAGAAAAATTCAGTTCAGTTTGATTATATAGTGCCAAATGGTAAATGGTCTAAACTTATATAGCGCTTTATCAAGCCCCATGGGAACCCACCCATTCACACACTAATGGTGGTAAGCTACATTGTAGCCACTGACAGAGGTGGGGCTGCCATGCACTTGTGCCACCAGACCCTCTGACCACCTTCAGTAGGCAAGACAGGTGAAGTGTCTTGCCCAAGGACACAATGGCTGGAATGGGGGTCGAACCGGCGACCCTCGGGTTACAGGTTGACTCCCCCAAACACTACGTCACCCAAGATAGAACAAACGTTGTCTCAGGGCACTGTACAAAGAACAATCAAACCGAGGAAGCCAATAGATTGCATTGAATCACTACGTCTCAGTCTCCCATCCTGAGCAAGCACATTGGCGACAGTGGAAAGGAAAAACTCAATTTTAGTAGGAAGAAACCTCCAGCAGAACCAGGCTCACAATGGGTGCCTACCTGCCTTGACTGACTGGGTTTGAAAGGACAGAAAAGAGACACAGACAAACACAGAAAGACTGGTTCAGGGGTAATTTCCTCTGGAAAAGAGACAACAGACAAACCTATAGCGGTATGACTAAARCTGGCAGTATAGTCGCTCGGCAGCCTACCGGACGTTGCGCCATCACGTGGTTGTTCGGCATTCGTTTTCACACACACCATAGCTCCCTGATGAGACACCCCGCGCGAGCTCCTGGGAAACCCCTCCTGCTGCAGCATACGTCACTGCATGGGATTTCGTCCCACTACAGTCAACAATGTGGGAAAAAAAGTCAGAGACTCATCACTCGACATTTATCCACAAACTGGTCAAACACGATTTTGGCAGTTCGGATGCAGTATACTGGGATAATTCAAGAAGCTAACTATAACTATAGGATTTATCAAAAAGGAAAGTCTTCAGTCTATTCTTAAAATTAGACAGGGTGTCAGCCTCACAGACAGAAACTGGAAGTTGGTTYCACAAGAGAGGAGCTTGATAACTGAAAGCTCTGCCTCCATTCTACTTTTAGAAACTCTAGAAACCCCAAGTAAACCTGCAGTCTGAGAATGAACGGCTCTGTTTAAAAACAATAAGATATTTAATGTAAAATAGAGCTTGGTTGTTGAGAGCTTTGTGTGTTAGTAGTAAAATATTAAATTATATTCTGAATTTGACAGGGAGCCAGTGGAGAGAAGCTAAAACTGTAGATATGATACTGTATCTGCTTCCAGCTCTCACTAGAACCCTAGCAGCAGCTTTTTGGGTCATCGAATTTCGACTAGAAATAATAGCGCTGAATGATGTTATTCTTAACTTAATTGAAGGAGAATATCTACGTTTTTGTGTTATTTATTTAGTATGTTGTGTGACTTAGGCATGACCTGTTGTCTACACACTTATTCAGGTGAATCAACCTTGATGGATGTGCTCTGTATTTATAAAAAATATTTGTTTAACCTTTAAAAATTTCTAAAAGGTATTTTGTCTACCTAATGTTAAAAAATGACTTTTCTTGTTCTAGAGGTAGCTGTTTCTAAATTCGGGGATTGCAACCCCTGAATTGAGACATAGCTAAACTTTTACAACTATTATCTAAAAAGGGAATTCAGACAAGACCATTTGAAACTCTAATACTTAGATAAAATTCATGTTCTCCCACTGAACTTACTCTTTGAGCTAACAGGCTTTTTTAAGGCCAGTTTTTCCTGCCTAAACTTCATTGCATCACCCATAAGCTCAGTATACTGTAAAAGGGGGCCAACAGCTTTGTGCCAGAAGGTGCTTTGGAAAGACAAAGCCATTTTACTGCCCAGTCTGGTGTTACATTACTCAAGCATTATCACCCCTGTCTACAAAATCCATCTATGTTCACACAGTAACTCAGAGATCCATCATCTTGACATATGTATTGAAACAATGACAGTAATGACAGCGCACAATAACTCGCAGAACAACATGACACACATTTAAACTTCTTTTCTAAGATCAATTCCTGAAAATGAAGCTGTCAGCATTTCCTTTTCTTTAAAAGGACGTGTTTGAATTGTGGTGTTCTTATATTTATGCTGGTAAGCTCTGTAGCCGAGTTTCATTGTTTTGCAAGCTTGACGGTTTTAATGAGGCCACAGAAGAGTTTTTCCTACTTAGCTTTCTGTTGTGGTAGAGTTTCAGTGGGAATCAATGGAGGATTTAGAGTGGGTTTAAGTTCCTTGCTCACGCTGTCTCTCTCTTGACACACACACAAATGGTCTTCCTCTTCTGTTGCTGATTAATTGGKTACAGATGCTGAGTAGTGTTCTGTACTTTTTATATTTTTATGAACATGTTTATGCTAACTTGGCTTTATCAATCGATAAACCACCTGCAATGATCTATATTCCTGCAAAGACCATGTGTCCCTGTTTGGCCACATTTCAGCATCCATAGCACATCACTAAAGCAAAGAAACAGTYTTAGCAATAGAGTTCTCATGCTTTTAAAAATGGCCATGTCCAACCAAATGCCCCTCTAGAGTCATCTTTGTAGCTTCACTCCTCTATTAAGTTTATCTTCTGTCCTCATATTTTCTTTTCTCAAAGTTATTGTCACCTAAAACATTTTTCTTGTCTTAGTATAGGTCATACATTAAATGTCTCCCAGGTCAAAAAAAAAACCAATCTTTTTGTGAAGAGTTTGATTTATTTGCACATTTATATGGACTGAGCGCTTGAGAAAGTACTTACTCTTGCATGGCTTGCCCTGTGGTGTGTGTGAGACAAGGCCAGTGACCAGTGATTCACTGATAAATGATGTGCGTATGTGCCTCTACAAACCCATACATAACTGTCTGACCTTATCTGATACAGCCAGGCATTAGTTTTTCAGAAAAAATCCAGAAAACAAACTCATTGATTATTTTTTATTATACTTGAATATCTGAAATTATTCAACGACATGTAAAAAGCTAAATTTATCTTTCTTTTACAATTGTATGCATCACAACATACTGAAATTTGAGTTAGCTATCACAACCAATGTCTTGTCATAATGACTCTGAACAGCTCCACAGGACCGTTTTAGGTTAACTACCTTTTACTAAGACACATTCAGAGGCGTTTATAGCTTTCCAAAATATGCTCCCATGGCAGAACTTAACCCACCAATTGATGCTTGACCAGAAAGCTACTGTTTTTCTGGCCTCCTTCATCTTTCTTATTGCTGCCGTGACAGCTTTTCAAACACTTGAGCTGCAAATCGGCCACTTTTCACAAATATTCCTTTTACATAATTCTAAWGTTTGCCTGTCTTGACTGCTTCTTCCAGGTTCATTCAAGAGATAGAGATGAACATGGGGCCAGGTCAACAGTGCCAGCTTCGAGCTTTCCTCACCTACTACATTAATGACCTCTTCCTCAACCAGGTTAGTGAATAAACCAAATGATGTTTTTATAGAAACTGCAGAAAACCGTTTTAAATTGCAGCAACTGTTGGGATAATTATTACTGGCTGCAAATATCCAGAGAAAATCGGCAGTTTATTGTTTGGGTCTGCAGCTTGATTGCAAGTTGTTTGGAAAACAAAATGTCATGCTACTTTTCTAGTTAAAACCTTTCATTCTGAACCATCAGGTGCGAACAGAGATCAACAAGGAAATTGAGACAGTGAGTAAAACTTCTGACCCTTTGAAGATTCTTGCCAGTGCTGATACCATGAAGGTACTGGGCGTCCAGAGACCTCTGCTGCAGGTGAGAAGCATCTGATGTGTTAAAGCCTTAGTACTTAATTTAGTGAAAGTGTTCATTTTAGTTAAAACTTAACCTGGTCCTTTAGTTAGATACAATACTCTATATCAGCTTTCACTACCTTCACTATTTCATCTTACTACAAAGAACAAAATTTAGTTTTACACTCATGTATGCATACATAATTTTTGCGTTGCTTGGACAGTTGCCGGGGGTGGGGCTGGCTCTCCATCCTCCCTGGTGCTGCTTGGTCTCCTGAAGTGTGGCTCTTGATTCCTGTGGGTGGCCCCCTGGTCGGGGTGGCTGCCGGGTTCCAGGGGGTGGACGGCTGGGGGGGTGCATTTGGTCGTTGATGGTGTGGTGGGGTGGTCATGGGCGTGGCTTCTCTGCGGCGGGGGGCTGGCCGGGCGTCCTGGTGCAGCCCGGGCCGGGCCTTGGCTATCTGCTCCTCTCCACCTCAG